TTAAATTAGTGCCTTAAAAAAACAAATCACACTCAGCTGAGCTTAATTTTCAGATTAGTTTGAGTTTACTAATGGATGATGGTTTTACAGCATAAAACCATCATCCATTTTTTCAGTTTCTCTCACAATGAAAAGACGAGAGAGCTGCCTGAGAGCACTAGAAATGTTATCATCAAAAAAGATAATAAGGCAGTCGCCAAAGACCTTGAAAACCCTGTCAATAGTTTATGTTGTCAAGATATTTCTAAGAAGAAACACAATGCGAGACATCTGAAGGCTGGTGTGGATTGTAAAAAATACATAGGACATAAAAAGAGCTTCAAGTTGACCGGGAGAAATCTGGAGTGGTGTTTCAGCTGGTTCCATACGCCATACACTAACAAATTATAACTCTAAACCAAGTAGGGCTCCTATAATAAGACCAGTGAGGATACAACGCAGCTTTCATTGATACACATGGAGTATAGTGCATCCCTTTGTTTAGCTACTGGCTTTCTTTAATATGTATATGTCCCCCTTGGGGGAAAGAGAAGTACAGCAGTAGATGGCGGTAATTCACCTTCAGGTTGGTTACCACCTGCCAGTTAGCCGAACAAAGAAGAAGAGGGTTTTAAGTGAATCAAAGAAATGATGGAATCAGAGAATTACAAAAATTATTAAGAAAACTGGGTTTGAGGTGAGGGTGGACCCATTGAAAACCTTTGGAGAGAGCTGACAAGGACCTGCAAACTTAATAGACCTTGAATTTCTAGTAGTTGAAAAGAGGAAAAAACTACCAGCAGACAAGTGCAGGAAAAAGAAAACCCTTTGGCTAGAGAAATTCTTATTTCTTATTTCTCTACTGTTCAATTTTCTGCAACCAAATGGTGAAAAATCATTTTCTGTTCTGATTGTTCTATTCATCTCGTCCATATCGATCCCTGTAGGACATTGGCTGCTATAAACGTCTTCTATGTGTCATGGTCTATGTTTACTCAGTACGATTCTTCACCAGATCAGCCTTCTCCATTCTCAGCCAGGTGGTCTATGGTCCATTCAAAACCTATTTGACAATAAACTATTATTTTCTGCAAATTTTGAATTCAGTAGTGAATCTGTGACGACATAATTAATAGCAAATACAAGTTGGGGTAAATGTTAATGGAATTGATTCATAAAGCAGGTTTGAAAACAATTAGTGTTTTGGGCAACATCCTCTATTACAGAAAATGTTTTTTCCTAATTGAAAGCCGATAACATCAAATTGCCATCAGGCAAGATCATAATGTAGTTAGCTTTTCTTCTTTAAACGATTATATGTCTGTTTAAGACGGGAAGGGTTTCGGCGAGTGCGACACCAAAACAGAGAAGGAATCATTAACCTCACATGATCGATTGTAAAAGCACTCGTAGGCATGGTGCACATCATGTGAAGGTCAGGCACAACATCAAGATGGATTCAGTGCATTATTGAACCAAAGCTTTCATTTAATTTACATTCCTTTTGCCTCTGTCTTCATTCCAGACTGTATTTTCATTAACCAGCCTCCAGCACAAGACAAATGTTGCTCTGGGTGGCCCTAGGTCTGTCTGCACAGAGTATCCATCATGAGGATGTGCCATGTAGCACCTAGGGTCACATACACATGCTCTGTGTAATTGCAGACGGATACCCACGAGATGAGATGATTTACAAGTGGAGGAAGAACTCTGTGGAGGCGTCTGATCAAAAGTCCTGGCGTCTCTACCAGTTTGATTTTATGGGCCTGAGAAACACGACAGACATAATAAAGACAACAGCAGGTAAGAGGCACTGTTACTTTTCCAGGTTTAATATATGCAAATATGATGATAATAAGCTGTGGCTTCCAGAGACTTTCACACATAAGTTGCTTTCAGACGTGCACAGAACTCCAAATAATATCTCAGTGCCAGCCTCCTAATAAATACTCCAGATAATATCCAAATGAACAGAGAACCCCGGACGATTCACCACGAACAAGTGGGTGTGTTGATGATGATGATGATGACGTTTCTAATATGCAACAGGCGCAAAAATTAAAAAACAAAAACAATACAAATATCTCAGGATGAAAAAGTGGCCACATATGAAGAAGATAGGAGAATCTCTTGCTGCATCGTTCATTTGTGAAAAGCAAACTCGGGAGAAAGTTTGCTCGAGTTCATGACAGGCATAGACAGGCAGAGCTGCAGAACAGTCTACCTGCTTCCAGACAGAGCACCATCTCCATGCATGATTAACCTGTTTACTACAACATGGGTATTATAAAATCAATAAATATGAAACATCAAAGTGGCATAATGAAGTGCAGTATACTAGGGTGAACTTATAATTGTATAGTCTACTTCTATTTCATCTTAATTTGTGCACATCTTCTCAAAGTTTACGGATATGGGTTAAAAAGACAAAATAGAGCAGAAAAAACAGATATTGTTGGAGGGCTGTGTAATCAATAGTTGAAGGAAGACGACCATAGGGCATAGTTGTTTCGATGCAGCACTGAATCCCTTTTAAATCACTTCACTTTTCCTTAGACCAATTACTTTTTTGGAGACTGTTTCATTAGTACTGCCCTCAGCAGCTGACTACACTGATAAAAGGACTAATTCATAGAGCACCTTTCTCGTCTTCATCACAAAGTGCTTTACGTCACAGATCACAGTCACACAAAGCAGATTTTCCAACATTCACAAATCCCATTCTCACACTCCCAGCACAGTCTTTAAGGACAATTAGGGTTCAGAGTATTGCCCAAGGACACAACATGGGAACTGGAGGAGCTAGGAATCGATCCACCAACCTTGCGATATTGGATGACCCACTCTACCTCTTGAGTCACAGCCGCCCATAGTTGTCCTTATCAAGACTAATTCATCATGCTCACTTCAAGAAATTACCTTTATGATATGAATAAGAAGTTCTCATATTTTCAGCTGTCGTTTTCAGACGTGGTTGATTCTGAGTGGTAGCATGACAACTACTCCACAGCTAACCCATGTTTCAGCAACAATGGAAAGTACAGGATATACTATAGAGGTAACTACAAAATGTAATTATATTCACTGCTGAAATAAAATAACCAGAGATTCTATGAAAAATTGGGTTAAATTTTGTGACCATCTTAGGGAATAGGCTTTTAAAGTACTCAGTGATGAACAATGTAGATTTTTAATTTTATGCACATCAGAAACATAACTGTTATGTAACGGTATGTAAAAAGGTTCTCTTATATAAAGCTGACTGTCTAATTCATATCAAATATGTTTAGAATTAAACATTCTTAGACCCATAGATATAAGTAAGCCACAAAAATTTTAGGAAATTCCAGATAGACTCACAAACTTTGTGTCTTTGTTCAAGGAGAAAAGCACAATCATTGGAATCGTTTACCTGTTGACTTGAGATTATTTAACCTTTAAATATAAACTTAAGACATGGCTTAAAACAAACTTGTGATTATCTGAAATCATTTCACTTTCTCTCTTGATATAATGTTGACATCTGTATTTGTGTTGTATCAGAGTGTTGCATTATACAGATTTATAATTTGATTTAAACACAGATTATTTGCTTGTTTTTATTGTGTTTAATCATAGGCTGTTATTATTATTATATGATACTATAGTTAGTTTGATTGCAATGTAAAATGTGCATTAATTGTCCATAGAAAAACTTCTAATTACACAAGACAGGTAATTGTTACTGTTTTTCAGGTTGCCTTGTAAAAACTGGTTTGAGGCAACATATGGAAATTGGCTAATATGGCCAACTCTGGTTAATTTACAGTATTTTGTCTGTTAAATAATGAGCACTGTTTCATATCAGATGAAAACCAATTATTTTTCTTACAAATAACATTATCTGAAATCAGCTGAAGAGAGGGACATTTGTTATAATACACACAGCACTGCATGTTAATGATTATAGTCATTATAGAGTAAAACAAAATAATATAATGACTATGATGAATAATAAATACTTTACATTTTATAAGAAGACACTTTAAGTATAGAGTAGATTTTTAGTATATGTTAGCAGGCATGTGTGTGTCTGTAAACTCTGACATGGAGCTCTGCTGTTGTCATGGCCACAGGGGACTATGTGGTGATGACGGTGTACTTTGACCTGAGAAGGAGAATGGGCTACTTCACCATCCAGACTTACATCCCCTGCATCCTCACCGTGGTCCTCTCCTGGGTTTCCTTCTGGATCAAAAAAGACGCCACACCAGCCAGAACGGCTTTAGGTACTGTGGACTCACTGCGGTTCAGTAGCTCCATCCATACCAGGACAAAGTGTGTGTCTGAAGCTCGGCTTTTGAGTCCACATTTTTAACTTCCATTTTAACCATGTTTGCTTTGAATGTGCTCTGTTTTTATGTGTCATTATCTTTACTATGTGGATATTTGTTTGCCACTAAACTTGCATCACTCCATCTGCTTCTTCTTCTGTTTCGTTGTGCTTTTCCCCTCCTGTGTACACACTCTGTTTGTTGTTGTTGCAGTCCTGTGGAACATTCAGGTGAAGGTAACTGATTTCAGTCTTTTTTTTTTCTTCCTTTTTCTCTGTTTATATTTTATCCAATATTCATGTTTCAGTGTAGGTGTGTCTGCCAAGCCCTTCAGTTAAAAAATGCCACTTGAAGTACACCAATTTGAAAGTTTAAGGCTTAAAAATGTAAGAAATTATGTCTTTTTGCTTTGAAATAATTTGAAAGCATTATTTTCACTCAGCTCTTAATTGCAAAACTTTTGCAAAGGTGAGTGAATGTGAGGAAACCATCAGCCACTACTCACAGTGAAACACACAGCACACTGTGCTCTCAACTATACATTCACCACTCATGAAGAGGGATAAAGGTAGGTGCCATTAATCTGTCATCTCTTCTTTAAAGCTTTAAAGCATCACAATCAATTGATTGGAGAAAGAATGAAGACAGTGAATGGATCTTAATTGTAAAGGGCAGACTGAGACAATGTCGGAGAAAAGATAAAGCCACTAACATGTAAAGAACTGGAGTGAGTCATTGCCAGGCAGCAAATCTTTCACTTCAGGTGTGATAATAATACATATTTAACAGTACTAAGTATGATGATATTTTTCTGTGACATTAGTGAGCGTGCAGTTGGACTTTTCTAAGAGTACAGTTGGACTCTCACAAGCACATCCTTCATATTCTGAACTGAAAATATTTATCTGAATGAACAACCTTTTGTTCTTGTGCGCACTCACCTCTGCCTACATGCTCAGTCATCAAAATCCCTTGTGGAAGCAGCTTGATTGGATTTAACACAGCCAATCAGCATTGCTTCCTCCCAGACTGTTACTGGCTGGTTTTGTGGTACATTTATAACTACGCTGTGCCAATCAAAGGGAGCGCGCACAGGACGATTTACTGTTTGCTCCGATTCATATTTTCTGTTCAAAATATAAAGTATGTGCTTGCGAGAGTCCCACTGCGCGCTCACTAATGTGGCACAAACATGACTCCATAACTAAGCACTGTAGCAAGTTATCACTCAGTAAACCAGCTTGTAGGTTAAGCCGTCACATACATTGTGCCATCGAACCAGCTGCCGTCTCATCCATATGTTTGGCACACCTAACAGTTACATCCACATTAGGCTGCCTGTCAGTGAAGATTCATGTGACCAAGACGTTTGCTTCTCTCTGAATCTGATGCTTATTCTATCGGTCAGATTAAAAACTGTAGAATCTGTGCGTCAGCAGAAGGCAGGTAGGGGTAATCACTGTGGCAAGCAGAGGCTAAAGGAAAAGTGTGAGATGTCTGCCTGAAATAGATGGGGCCAGCTTGTTACCATGGGAACCTCAGTGAAACAGTCAACGGTGGTTTTTTCCCCCATGATATGGAGGACAGGGAGAGGAGAAAATGAAATCATTCAGAAATGCCTGTCAATCTGAGTGAATTCAGAAACGTCTGCTGTTCATCAGAATGAAAGTCCTTCTAACTTGAAAGCTAATTTGCCCAGTAAAGATAAAATATGGTTCTCTTTATAATAAAAGAGAGGTGGACTCCATGCAGTAACCCAGAGAATCCTAAAGCTACACAAATCTACAGTTTTGCCATTAAAGTTTTTTGTAGAACCCTATCCCCATATTTCCTCCAAGGATCAGAGTACTAACTTACAGTAAATACAGTATTTTGTGAAAGAGGTTGTCCATAGTGATAAACATCAACATCTCCAAAAGTGAAGCCAAACATCTCGATCGCCCCATGGTGGAATGATGCAATGAAGTTCATCAACCCCTCCATGTTAGCAGGTGGGACATAAGCCAAAATTAAAAGTCAAGTTTCAGTCATTTTAGTTAGTTCTTATATCACTGTTATATGCTGAAGTATTCATGTTTCTAATTTGGTTGTAATTATTCATTTGATGCTATAAAAATGGGGTGAAATGTCACGATTAACACCTGAGACTTACCTGCAACTGGTCAAGCATGTTTAATGATGGGACCTCGACACCACGGTTCCAGTTCCACAATACTGCCCAGAATCTGGCTCCAATAGACACCATCAGCACAAGATGGTTAAAAAAAAAAAAAGAGCTAAAAGGAGAGTGGATGTTGACCATAAACATAAATTGTAATGGTTACCATGTCCATGTCTGCTGGATGAAATAGGCAATTGTTTGCTTTACTTAGTAAAAGCATTGGGAAGCAGAGGCAGCAGCTCTTTTAGCTAAATTCTAACATGGTTACAATCTGTAATGATCTCATGTTTGCAGTATTCTCCATCTAAGCATGAGATCACACAAGGCGAACTGGTGTAAGTGTAGGGCCTTCAACCATGAGGTAACAAACACAACCTGGAACTGGCAGCTACACAAAGCACACCGTATATGGGGCTCCCTGGGCGGAAACGCAGGGGCAGGAACTAAGCAGGTATAGGTGGAGTCGATGTAGTGATCAGGAACTGAAGGGACAGGAAGTGTTACTGCATTTCAAAATAAAACAAGTTGACTAACTTATAACGCAGTATAGCTGTTGATTCATTTTGCAGGCATTAAAATTGTAATTATTAAAATGATTAGTTGTTAAGCTCTGTAAGAGTGTAGCAAATGAGTGACATGGCAATAAGTCGTCTGAAAACCTTTATTCACAATTACTTTTTAGTGACAAGATTTGGGCTTTATCGCTCTTGATATTCATGGTTTTTATGTGGTCTATGTTCTCTTTAAAAAAAATAAAGTGTGCATCTCATTCCAGAGTTGTAATGATGATGATCTCAAGGCAAAAACAGGACAGATCTGTAAAAGCTTCAATCGACCTGGATCCACTTACTTTCTGTTATCCTCATCCAGCTTGTCACTGCTGAACGTTTTCATTTTTAAAGTTCAGTCAAGATTTTATTTAGTGTGCTGCTTGTTTGTTTACACTGTTTGTCCTGCATTGTTGGTCTCGCTTGGATTTTATGTCAAGAAACAAATGTTAAATCAAAGAAAGTGAATAAAATCATTTATCAAGACCAGTTTTGGTTAGAGGGAGAAGAATGTGTGTAAATATGACCATGAACCAGCCTAAAGCGTGTGGATTTCCATCATCTGAGCTGTCCTAACATGGGTCCGTCCTCTCCTCTGACCCTCAGGTATCACCACGGTGCTGACTATGACTACGCTCAGTACTGTGGCCAGGACGTCATTACCCAGAGTGTCATATGTCACTGCCATGGACCTGTTCGTCACTGTCTGCTTCCTGTTTGTCTTCGCTGCACTGATGGAGTATGCAACATTGAACTACTACTCAAACAGTGCCAGAAAACTCAGCTGCATGGAGCCGAAACGACCAGTAGGTTGATCTTTTTCAAACACATCTATTGAAACGTGTTTTCACTGTACTTTAAATATATAATCATTCAGTCAAACCCCCTCCACTGGTAATCTGGAGTGTTTGTCTGATGTAGGATTTATCTTATAATTAAGAAAACTATGACAGGATTTCTCAAGTGTCTTCATGCAGTGGTTTATTTTATATCGGGGAGTTACAGTGACTAAGAAAATAGCTGTGTATTTATGCATTTATAATCAATATTAAATAGTGTAGCCTATATAAACAAAATATATACATATAAATGTTCCTACATTCAGCCCCTAACGAGGATGTGACGTCTTTGTTGATAATAATAACTAGTTACCAGAGAGACCACCAGTCTGTGAGGTCACTGCTCTACTTTGTAGTCTGCGGGTGTCATATTGTGCAGCACTGAACAAGGAGGTGAAGTGCATCAGTCAGCCATGATCCACACAGCTACAGATGAACAAAGGTAGATTCTGGCTTTTCTGTCTCTCATTCTGTCTCCTCAGAACTACTCTGTCCTGGACGTGCGACCTCCGCACACCGTCATCACTCTAAACAACTCCATGTACTGGCAGGACTTTGAGGACGCTTGTGTCTACGAGTGTCTGGATGGAAAAGACTGCCAGAGCTTCTTCTGCTGCTTCGAGGAGTGTAAAGAAGGTGCGTGGAGAAAAGGACGTGTCCACATAGATCTACTTGAACTGGACGCATACTCACGTGTTTTCTTCCCCACTTCCTTCTTACTGTTCAACGTGGTCTACTGGGTGGGCTATCTCTACCTTTAGCACTCTGCAGGAGCCTGTTTGGTTTCAAACAGAGGACAGCACAAGTTAACAGAAGAAATTCAAGTGTAATAAAAGGTAACACAAATGAACTCTTTGTTGTGGCACCTGAAACAGTGACCTGGAAACCAGCGTGTGTCAGTAGGCCTGTGCCAAACAGGGCGGCAGTGAGGACAGGATGGACTGTCTGCTAATGACGATACATAGACCACGAAGGACACGTGCTTCTCCAAACCTCTCCATCAGGAGGATGACTTTTGTCGTAGGGAATGTACAGACACGTTATTGTCCAGCCATCAGTCAAATCCAGTTGGTGAAACTCCAATGACACTCAAACCATTTATAGTGCCTTCCTCTGGAGGGGTAGATACTATCTGCTACAATAATCAGGGAGAAATTATTTATAAAATGATCATTAAAAGAGTCTGGCTTTGACTGATTATGGCCTCTCATTCAGATCTTTGAGAAACATTTATAAAACAGGCAATTTTTATAAGAACCATATGAATTATTATTAAGCTTATACTGACTCTCAGCCATTAGACATGACTCATTCCTCCTGCTTGCAACAATATTACTGCCCATACATGTTACAATAAATAAATTGTATACAGGGAAGAGGAAGATCTGAACAGCAGAAGTAATAATTTGTGTTTCACTGGCACATTTTCATACATTTTAGGGCGTGAAGTCAATGTTTAAATGGGTCTTCATCTTGTATTTATGTAGTGTTCGTGCTGGGACAAATCTCTCATCAAGGTGTCCATAGTATTAATCCAGAGGTTACAGTTATTATGTTGTCATGGGAAATGTAAGGGTTGTATAAGCTGCTGACTTTGCTTCGCTACTAACTGAGTTTTTGCCTATTCAATCACTAAATCCAGAAAACTTCAGGGGTTGGGGTTGAAGGCAATCAGATGAGCAGCTGTCATGAAAATCAAAGGACAGATGGACCGAGAGATTATTATTTTATATTATCATTATTCATTATCGAATAGACATGCTTTCAATCTAACTCTGCAAAAAAAATAAAATTAGGGTATTTTCCAAATGTTAAACTATTCCCTTAAGAGAAAGGAAATCAATGAGTGGGTTATTGACTTGATCTGTCTCATACATTACGACTGTATTTAGCTTTCTACGTCAATGCTTGAGGTTTCAGAGGTTGTACAGATAGAGAAGAAATATTGTGTTATGTGCAGACATAAGAATGGAGTGTGTCATGTCTGCTGACTGCATTGTTCCACACTTAAAGATGAAACACCCTCAGAACGAAGGCAGCCGTACATATAATTCAACTGTTATTTTCCGAGATGCCACACATGTTCATGCTGTGTATGCATGTTGCACAGCTATGGCCGAGCTCTCGCACATTAAATACCATATAAAGTGAATAGACATAGAGTTTCTGCTTTCAGCTCTTAAACTAACAGTAATCCTACGGTTGTTTTTTTAACACAGTTGGTGAATAGGACACTCAAATTAAATGTAATGGGTGTTATTTGTGCATTAGGCAGAAAATGTAATAATCCCATTCATCTCTGTTTGGCTGTTGACTCTTGTTTGCATGCAATAGGCAATTATCCATTACCATTCATTAAGCTCTAATACATCCAGAGTAAGACTTGTAGTTTTAATGTGGACTGTTTGTTTCCTGATTTGATTTCCCTGTGCTTAGACTTGGCATTAGCAACCGCTGAATTGCCTTAGCGTAGCCTGCCCACAGCCAAGACGAGCAGCAGATATTTACCTCTGATAATAACCTCAGCATGGTGAAGACCTTACTTCAGCAAGGCCACTTCTTTGCCTTGGGCAGAATACTTAAGTAGAACTTTTTATAAACCCAATTTATAGCCCTTTTATTAGTATGATTAGATTTGCTATGTATGTGCCAAATATTTCACGTATGTGCCCACTAACCCATTTATGTTTTCAGGAATGTTTCAACGACCCTAAAATACTTAATCTAATGTGTTTTTATATTGCGCACACAGTAAAGTATGGCAACCTGAGGCAGGAAAAGAAATAGAGTGCGTGTATGTACACATATTGTATTTAGCGATGGCCAGGGTGATGCTGCACTCAGTGTGCAGGAGATGTGAAACCTAATGCTCATTATTTCCACATGGAGAAGGACAGTACACTCTGCCTGCTCTGGTGTAAAGTGTTTCCCAATGTGCCTGCAAACAAGACAAACAGGATGCAGCTACACATGATAATGACACATGCTCACCAAATCTTCTTAACATACACAAACTACTGACAGCATTTTGGTTCTTTTCTTTGATGCCACTCACTGGACAGTCATGGGTTTTTTCTCATCTCTCTATCTTCATTCAAGAGCGTGTGTTTTGTTTGAGAGAAGGACTCATTGATTTCAGGTTCAGATTTTGTATTGCTCTCACTCAAAACCCTACACTCACATTCTGCTCTGCTCTCAGATATTGTTTTGCTCTTTGATTTTTTCTTCTTCTCTTGGATTTTTTTTTGCAACAAATCTATTACAATTCCCCAACCAATAGAATGCCAGATGTAGTGTTGACAAGTGAAATTGTCCCGCCCTCATTGTGGGTGTGTCTTTGGGAGTTCCATATGGTCGTATAATTAAACCAGATTCATGCACTCCTGTATTTTATGGGAACTGTACCAACAGCAAAAGTAATCAGAAAGAGGATGGGGCGGTTTAATTTGTCACCACTACATCACTGGTTGGGAAATTGAACAGGCTTGTTGCACCAAAGAAGAAGAAATCTGAGAGCACAAGCAGGTTATATTTGAGTGCGAGCGCAGGGTTTTGAGTGAGAGCTTTAAAAAATCTGAACGTGAAGTCAGTGAGTTCGGCTCTCAAACTGAAAGACTATGCTCTTTAATAAAGATGATGAAAAAAAACCATAGACGTTAACATAACCAAATAAAGTGAAACTCCCACATGTGGCATTTTGTCGGCAACGATGTGAAAACTGCAAGTGTTCTGACTCCCGCCTGCTGACAGATGAAGGATGATGCAATAAGGTGTTCTGAGTGGTGCTATACTTTACAATAACTTTTGCATTCTCCAAGAACATACAATGTGTTTGTGGCACATTTACCTTTATGACAGTGAAAGAGTTGAGGCGTATACTGGATGAGATGTCGGGCTGCTCCATCGCAGACTGAGTCACACTGCATCACTTTCATCTGTAAGTCTGCCCTCTGCCAAATGGACCCTGACTGTTAAAATCACACCGAGTGTCAAATAGAGTCATTCTTGTCTCACTCTGTATTATCAGGCAATAGTGTCAAAACACACAGCACGAACACACACAAGATAGTTATTCTACATTTAAATCAAAAAACTAAACAGCAAAAGTTTCAGAGTTATTGTGAACATGGCTCCAGATGGTTGTAGGTTTTCAAAAGTTCATTACTATCAAATGTTTGGTAGGATTTTATTTATACTACTTTAAGTAGGATTGTGTCATATGTTAGTCAAGTGATTCACATGGTACAAAGATCCCCCCCCCCGTACTGAAGCATTGTCTAATATGGTAAAATAAAGAATTGTGGGTTACTTTACTCTTCATGTAAGGGATTTACATCGAACATTCATGGAACCCCTTGAGATACAAAGCAAGATATATTTCGGAAAAAAATAAGTTCAGTGTGCCTCCGATGTGTTAAATTGACGCGTTGGTTTTTGATTGTCTGATCTGCCCCTTCTGTCTAATGTCCAACCTCCTCGCTGTATTTACTCTTAATTTTGAGCAACATGTTTTTCCAGCTGGACCGTTGACATTTCGGGTATTATCTTTCCAAACCCTGGGACAGCAGAGCGGGTAAACACTGCAGGGAGGGATTTGATCCCAGGCTGTAGTGTGGGCATGTGTGTGGGTCCAGACTGAAGCGGTGAACCAGCTATGGCCACCGTGTCGTCTGTGGCAAGGATCAGCGGGATTTATGCAGACAGGCTATCTAAAGGGGCCGAGCCAGCGACAGACATGTGGAGATGAAACTCATCCATTTGTTGCGGATGTTCTGTGTAAACCCCTTGCAAAGAAACTTGTGTATTCTGTGATCTGGAAAGTTTGGTCACTTAAACTGGAAGTTTTCAGAGTATTAGTAGAATTTGTGTCAACTTGAAGAACAATAAACGCAGTGCAAACACAGCACTGGTTCTAAGCCACATTCAGTATCAAGCTGTTTTCAGACATGAACTGTGGAAAATGTCGGACTTTCTTCGGAGTCCCACATCTTAGTCTGTGACCTCTACGTGTATGGCAGCACAATATTTGTTTTCTTTTTGAAATGTTTGCATCACACTTTTGCTTGCGGAAGATCTCCTGCTGTGTTCTCCTTTAGACATTCTCCTGAGGGTTTACCAGGGGGCTGGCAGGAGAAACTCAGCAGAAAGTCCAGAGGCTGTCACTCAGACATTTGCGTTCTCACATACAGCCCCTCCAGAGAGTCTCTGGAGTTCAGTGCATGTCTGAAAGCAGCTTTACTGTGATTAAAAAGCCAAAGACATTTCTGTCAGTTTTTTCTCTGATAGATGGGGAATTGTTGTGTATTGATTTTTTTCCGGCTTCAGTTTCCACATATTCAGTGCTGTACTGTGAAGTGTCATTTATCTGCAAACTATGAGCGTAACAGAAATAATTAGCCTAGAAGTGCTTGAAGATGGTTTTTGTCATTTCATCCGCTGTTGTTTTATTTGTGGCAGAAATCTCACTGACAGCTCGTGCTCTGACTGGCGTCTCTGCAGCTGTTCACAGAGTGTGTTTCTACCATGAGCTTTCATTCTGTAGCCAAACAATGTGTTTCCACAGTGGTGAGTCATATTTCTGTTGACATGTATTATGTCCTATCTAACCTGCTGTATACACAATACTCAACTGTACAACTTTTTCTGCTTTGTGTTAACATATTAGTGGCTTCGGTGTGTCTTTGATATGTCATTTTTCAATGGTACAGTGCAAGTGTTGAGATTGTACTCTTCAACAGCGTGGTGTCCTGTGAGTATCGGCCCCAGAAGAATACATATCAGTCCTGCAGATATCTCCTGCAGTGTGTGTGTATAAATATGAGTCTGGATGTTTCATGCTATAAACATCAGGTTCTCTTGTTGTTGAGCGGTTTCATGTTGTGTGTTACAACCACACAGACAGAAACACAACTGGAGTCGTTCTGGCAGAGACACTCACATCTGGGCCTGGAAGCAGATCTGTGGAGTCACGACGCTGGCGGCTCCGCTCCGGATGTAGAAGCTGAAATGCTTCTCAGGACAGTTTGGTGGCTTCGGACATGAATTAGCTGGAGAGGAGACATGGATCAGTCCATCAGCAGCTCCATCAGAAACACTTCTTCATCCATCACTCACCTGATGAGTTCTGACTGGACGTGTCGAAGCTCTTGGATAAAACTTGTACAAATTCATCTGGAAAAACAAGAGTTCACTCATGTTAAAGTCAAAACATCTGGAATTTGCACTTTAGATTTTTCAGTTTGGTTCATGTCCCATCTGCTAACATGGAGGAGGCAGGGTTTATGACCCTTGCAGCCAGACACCAGGGGGCGATCATGTGACGAGCCGTCATGTCGTCCACATCTATGACGTGAAACATCAATACAGACGGACGACAGCTGAGTGAAGCCAAAGCATCTGGATGAGTTCCCTCTGAAGCTCCCAGATGTTCAGTGTTCTCACCCACAGCTGGTTTGTGGAACTTCTGCAGAATCACGGTGATTAAAATAACCACAGGCAGCAACAACAGCAGGCACGCCCACACTCCTGAGGGCCACAGACACACGGAGGAGTGAGGCGACAGCAGACCACACGGACCAACATCATCCATCCATCATCCATCNGACCATGCTATTTTCATACCTATGGTTTCTTTTTATATCTAAAATGTGCATTACTACCAAGGACCAGAACATATGAAATAAAGATTTGCTTTTTCATAAATGTAGATCAGTGCAATTTTGCCCTTTTAATGTTATTTGTTCAAATGCATTTCAACTTGGAGCTATTGTGGTAGTTGGACTGAATTGTTTTATTAGAAAATGTTCCTGATAGAAAATATTTACCTCAGCTTCTCTTTGTACACCTCCAGTGCTTTGTCAAAATACATGTTGGACCAGATGAAATGAATAATGGGACCTATTAGGGATCTACTCTATTCATAAACCACTTACAACCTGCAGGAGGGAAATTAAATCATTGCCAATCTCCAGATTTGCACCTGAGCAAAATATTTGAACCATTTATCGGCTGCAGGTTATTGCCCTGTGAGAGAAAAGGAACAGAATATATTTTTCAAATCTAAAATCTAAACAAATTGGGCCTGAGTCTGTCTTCAAATTCAATTGTACGTGTCCGAAATTCAATAAAGGTTTTCAACCTAAAGGCAAAGACGAGTAACATGATTGGGTTTCCCTTCTGAAAACTGTTTGCTTACACCCATAAATAAATAATGAGATTGTGTTAGTCCTTTCACAACAAAGGCAAAATATGAGTCTCTTCACTGAACATGCACTGTAAGACATATTTTTACATAAATGCACACAATCATGGTAGTGAGGTGAGTGTGATAGACACAAAACATCCCAAAAGAGGCTCTAAATGATTAAATGAAGTATAAACACAGAAGTTCTGGATGTTGTTCTGGCAACAGTTATATCCACAGTACGAGAGAACATGTCTCTGCTGCAACAAGAAGTATAAATAACAATCATTAGAATGATCTGTGAAAAGTGCTGAACAGTTGCAGATTTAAAGGTACAGTGTGTAGATTTTGAGATATCTAGTGTTGAAATTGCATGTTGCAGCTGAACACCCCTCACCTCACCCTCTCCTTCCAAACATGAAAAAGAAACTGTGACAGCCTTTAATTGTCATAAAAACTCAAAAGGTGTTTAGTTTGTCCAGTCTGGACTAATGTAAAAAACATGGCGGCCTCCGTAGAGAGGGTCCCCTCGATGTAAATATAAAGTTTTTAAATATAAAGGGCCTTTTCTGGGGTAAAGAAAACTACAATTAATACAATTTAGATGAAATGAACTAGTGAAAACATCATGAGGATCACCTAAATCTTACACACTGGACCTTTAAAGATGTGGGTCTGTGTACAAATTCTGTCGGCCCACAAATCAAGTTAAACTAATCTTGCAGTAGACCTTATCGGGCCACCTGCTACACCAATTTGACTTTCTTAAAATCTGACACAAATGTTCATTTGGTCAAAGACACAAAATGTGTTTTTGTTCCTCTTAAACATGATATCTCAATTCTGTCCTGAGGAAATGTCTTCAGATTTTAACCAGTTGTAACTTGGACTCAATGATGAACTGATTATATTTCAGTGGTCAAAGGTTAAAGGTCATGGTGATCTCATGGAGCAATGGAAAGTTTTAACTCTTCTAACCAGGGGCCGGGATCAGGTGCAGACACCATGAGTTCATCTCCCAGGTCCTCATTGAAAACTCTGCAGTCTATAATTGACCGGTAGCGGTTGCAGCTGTAGACGTGTGATGCTGTGGAAAAATACACAAAAGTAGATTATCCCATTCATAGATCACCACCGTTTGGGGCGTGTGCTCACCTACCAGCACTGTACTACACATCAATGGCTCCCATGGTAACAGTGGTTTTTCTGACATAATGAAATGTAACGACAGGTCTGATGGCAGCCAGCACATCTGATTGGGACTTGTCAGCTGTCTGTGAATTTTTATCTTAAGTACATAATTCACACACACACTCATGATACAGCTGAATGGGCTCAGTGTCTATCACTATCACTATCACCTGGGAGATATTAGAGATATACTGTATACATGACATGTTACAATGTTTTCCCCTGCTAATATATTATGCAACATTGCATATCCCTGCGATGTTAAATAAACTAATCCATACAATATTTTCACATCCAGAATGAAGGTCAGACAGAAAGGGCACAAGAATTTTATTTTTCCCAAAGCTTTTGTCATTACAAATCCGAAACCACAAATTTCAGAGTAGTGCTTTTAGAACTTCCACATTTACCGCCTTCATCATCTTCGACTGTGAAAGACATAAACATCTCTGCTGTCACTTTATGATCCATTATTGCCAACGCAGTGCTGCAGTCCATTCCACTTTGCAGCACAATCATCATCTGCTGCTTTCAGCAAGGAGGATGTTTTTCTGTTAGCCACAGTGACTGCACATGTGTATCCTTGGGTACGGCCAGCTGGGAGCAGGTGTAGAGGAGGAGGGAGAGGCTGTAGGATGAAGAGCGTGAACTGCTGGAATAATCCTTTTCTGGCCTTGTACTGTTTCCCACAGATGCTCTCACTTCACATTACACTGAGAGCTGGAGTCTGCTTCTATATGAAAGTTCCCACCAATCAGTAGTTCTCGGAAATCACAGAACATCATATTTCTCCGCATCTACATATTCGCTTGTGATATTAGTCATTTTCACATACTGAGCATGTGCTGCAGTAAAATACAGGAACCTTTGATTATCAAGTGTAAATGATGGGTTCTGCAAAGAAATCACTAATTTCTTATCCTCTGCTGGGATAAACAAGCAAGGGATGGAAAGTTGTAGAGGCCAGACCTCCCAACCTCCTGTCCAGCTGAGATGTAAGATCATCACTGCCTGATGCGTCCAGTGAATTGAAATGTAGCTTCATTAGGGGACTGTTGGTCCTTGGCGAAGGTAAGTACTCTGACCGTCTAGTTAATAAATGGAATAAAGTATGAATATTTTACTGTTCATTTTAAAATAGCTTATGACTTCCTGTCAGGCTTAACTGACTGCCTGGAGACAGAGCTCTTTCAGTAAAATATAGAGTTTGGTGCTGAAATGAAGTAAAGTGCTTTTGCTAGATTGCTAGATCAGCAGTTCATGCTAACTAACTCATGCTAATTGACTATTTAGCAATTTCACAACTTATAAATAAGACATGATGTTGACTTCATATCCAACTGTTGAACAGGAAGTAGATATGACTATTATAAGGATCAAAGTATTGCTTTAAAATCTTTCAAAAGTCAAGGTTATTTCAACTAAGCATATCAATAGTTTTATGATATATCACATTATGTTGCAATTTCAGATGAAAATGTGTTTTTCACAGGCCTATACAAAACCAGCCAATCTCTCTGTTATCTTTCTGTACCTGTGCTATGGGGGGGCTGGACCAAGACATTGAGGGGCTTTAAAATGAAGTTTTATGATCTTACACTGGTGCAGTGGGCCTTGAGTTTCTCCTGGTGCAGGAAAATGTCCAACCTCATGTGGCCAGAGTGTGTAGGCAGTTCCTGAATGATGAAGGCATTGATGCCATTGACTGGTCTTCACGTTCCCCTGACCTAAATCTGGGCACCAAGGAGCAGGGCAATCTGGTTGATGCATTACAATGAAGATCTGTGATAGAAGCTCTGTGTCCATGTGCTCCGACCGGAGAAGTTTTACAACATCCGAAAGCACAATAAAAACAAGTGCATTAATGCCATATCCAGAATGAGACAACAACTGTACTGTTTCAGAGAGAAAACACAAAATCAGATCTCAAATCAAGAATATTAAACTGTGCGCACATACATTTAACAGTAAACTGGGTATCATCACAAGTAATATATTACTAGATTAACTGTCACTGCTGACTACATATGGGCGCACTGCGATGCCTAAGTTACAATGTCACAGAATAAATGTCTATCACAACCTCAGATGTAAATGAAAAATATTGCAGCCACAAGGAGAGCACCCCCACCCACCCACTCGCACTTTTCCTGTGATTGGAGAACAGTCCATGGCTCAGAGGCTAGCCTCATATGCACAAGCTCTGCCCCCCCTCATCACACACACGGTACAATCTGGGCATTGAGCTAGCCGACTGGGAGCGAGCCACTGTATGGTCATAAGTACTCTTTAATATTTATATATTTACTATCAAAAAATAAAAAATAGCCCTATAGCCTAGGCTTGACTAGGGCTGCATAGATTTGTGACAGGGCTATAGCCCACCCTAGCACTGGTGTAGCCCCATGCTTGCTCACACCTGTAGATTTATCTCAGGTTGTTTGAATGAGTTCAAAGTTTGTTTAAAGTTGAACCCTCCATGGATCGTGACTTCAGCCCTCACACCCAAAGTTTATTTCTTCATGCACACAATGGCCAGATAAGAAATCCAATTAAGTCAGTGCCATGCAGTCTTATTTCCCCATTTCTGCAATCACCTCATACATGTCTATAAACAAAGAGCCATTGAGAGCATTATGCATTTTCCATCATAGATATGCAAATGCTCCATTATGAGGGAATGGAACAGTAACGAGGCGAGTGAGTTCTGATCAGCTGTGATCACATCTCGGGCTCAACCACAGCGAGGCACGGCAGCTTTTGCTCTTTGAAATCTCTTGTCTTTTGGTTTGAAAAGAAGATAATAGGCCTTTGATGACTCCTGTTGGCAGCAACAGATAATTATCACAAATAACTTCAATATGGTGGCGAGCGGGGCTCTGTGTGTTAAGGCCGCATCAAGGGTGTGATGCCTTCAGGGCTTGAGAGAGTGCACGTATACACTCCAACATGATTCACCAGGTTGTTCATGTCTGGTCAAACTTGTTCATCAGTGACAGCAGCTGCTTTAACATTAACGTGGTGTGAGAGTACCTGTACATTAGCTCAGATTGTGCTCAATCACTGCTGTCATCCAGAAATCCTTAACCTGTAACTGCTCCGAAAACCAACAGACAGCTATGCCAGTTCATTGTTAATAAAAATTGCACCAA